GAAGGTTGTTGAGAGCGTGATGGCACATCAGCTCCCGTTGGCCCTGGATGAAGCAACAAATAGAATATCTATTTTTGATAAGATTTCCATTTTTACCCATTTTTCCTTTCACTTTTCTTATCTGTGCCACTCCTGTACCATTCTGCAATGACCTCAAAATCACCCAAAAAAGCTTCTATACACATCAGTGGAAGGTAGTTTATAAAGGAAAGAAGAAAATCATACACACACAATTTTTTTTTTTGCTTTGTTCCTCCATTGTGAGCAGAATGTCACTGGGAACAACATCTAGATCAAGGGTGGGTTCTACTTACCTTTACTACCGATTAGCAATTGGATCGTGATCTGTGCAACCTGCGCATGCGTAGATCACCTATGACAACATCTGGGGTGGTGGGCGGAGCCTCTCACCGGATTTTTACTATTGGTTCTTACGAACCGGGGGCAGCCCACCACTGAACTAGATCCAAATGAATATAATGGATATAATCAATATGAATATAATCAATATTGGACTTTAGCAGAATAACAGTCACTCTCTGTCAGCCCAATCAACTTCACAAGGTTGTTCATAGAGGGAAAATAGGAGGAGGAAAGAGTACTGTGTATATATAACTCTAAGCTATTTATAATACACAAAAACAGAAACTGAAGAACTTATAATTGACTTCAGGAGGAAGAGAAATGTACATTTACCATTGTACATAAATGGTGAGGATGTGGAGAGGGTGCCTAGTTTTAAATTTCTGGGCATTTATATCTCGGAGGACCTCTCAAGAACTATGAATGCTAATATGCTTGTGAAGAAGGCACAGAAGAGGCTGTACTTCCTGAGAATGCTCAGGAAGATAAATCTATCTCGGCATCTATTTCTGTCCTACTATCGCAGCACCTTTGAGAATGTCCTGACATACGGCATTCTTGCATGGTATGGGAGCAGCTCTGTAGAGAATCATTAAAACTGCCCAGAATATCATCGGACTCCAGCTACCAGCCCTGGATGACATCTTCGAATCTCGCTGTTTGAGAAAGTTGCATAACATTCTCAGAGACTCTTCCCATCCTGCTTACAATCTTTTTGGACTGTTGCCTTCTGGCAGAAGATACAGAACAATTAAAACTCGGACCACGCGTTTTCTGAATAATTTTTATCCCAGAGCTATAATTGCACTCAACAATGAAGTAAAGGGCCACCATCAGTGAGCTGTTGGACAGTATTACTTGGTCTGTTGTGTGGATGTTTGGGTGGTTCAGGGGTGAGGAATTGTGGTGGGTGGGAGTGTGTTTGGGGATTGTTATGTGTGTTGGACCTGGTCTTTGGGTGTTAAGTGAATTTCGTTGTATGGGTATATTATGTATACATGTACAATGACAATAAAGTTGTTTATTTATTTATAAAAATAATAAAGGTGGGAGAAAAATCTACTAAATATAATAAATTAAAAATCTCAACAGAAAAGCAAAAAGTACACTAAGATATTTAACCTGCAGATAAAAACTTGATAACTGCTCTGTTATTATCAGATACTTGCCTTCTTCCCAGTGCTATACATTCCTCTTTTAATTGCAATAAGAAATGTCAGTGCTTGAGTACTTTCAAAGATCACTGTTGCTACTTTAGGTCTGCTGGAAAATAGCCTTTCCTTCCCAAAAATGGATTGTACAAAGAGAGAGGAGGTAAGGAAGGGTTTTTTTTTTTTTTAAAGGACTTAGCTTTTGGGAATTTACTCACAACACCCTTATCTTAAAGAGTTGTATAATGACATACAGGTACAGTATAATTTCCCCATATTTCAAAACTCTTAAAAGGAGGGAGGAGGCCTTCTGAGAACAGAGATTAAATTCAAGCTAAATACCAAACTAGAGGCATTATGCTGACTAGGAATTTATGGGATGTCTAATTCAACACATCTGGAAGGCACCCTATAGGGAAGAGAATTCTACAAAGTGTAATGCACCGGGTCTATCCATCATAGATGTGAACAGATGGAGGAAGAGTTGTAGCTAAGGTACTTTTCACATATGGACTGGCACCCATAAGAATTGTTTTTGTATCCATAAATTCAAGTCATATGGCCATGTAATCACATGTAATTGCCATGTAATCATATGATAACTGCATACTCTGACTACCAATAAATGCAATTTAAAGTAGGTAGGGGAGTTGCTGCTTTGCAAGATAAATATTTTATTTAACCTATATATTTTAGTAAATATAAATGCAGGTTTTATTTGCTGGGCTATAGCCAGGCTGTGGCCTTGAAAAGTTTTTCTCAGGTGCCTCGCTATTTTTTTTTTAATCCTGCTGCCTTGTGGATGGAGCTTTGGCTGCCCAACGCAAGTTCTCCATGGAATGCCAAAAATACTTGACTTGTTATTTGAAATGTATCCCTTTGGTGCTGTGAGTGGTGTTCAGAAATGTGCAGTTGGCTTGCTAGTAGATTTCTGGAGAGCAAAATTGAATTTGGCAAGGGACATGGCTGTTCATATTGCTTCCAGGTGAACTTTAATTTCAGGATCATTTAACCCTATGGTATTTAATGGTGGCTGTCAGAACGGCATTGCTTTTGTTTAAATTTAAAATCTGTTTGTTTTGGACTAAAGGAATAGATATGCTTTTTTTAATATCCAAGTTTATCCTGTTGCTAAGAAAAATCTTTTCTCTTTAGCAAATTCATAAACTTTGCATTAAGTATTTGCTTCCTGATATTAATATTGATTCCTAAGCTTTAATATTTCCTCTGTAAAATTATTGTCTCACTGTTTTTCACAGAACAATATTCTTTTCAATTACTTAATTATCAGTTAATTACTGATTAGGTTTTTCATTGTAATTCAATCCAGAATTGCAGAAGGCAGTTACTGGGCTCATAAACTATGCTACGTCAAAGCCAAATAATCAACTTCATGGCTTAATGCAAGTATGAACCTAACCACCGTTGACCATGGTTTACAGTTTCATCTGTGGTTAACAAATCATACTTTAGCAAACTGTGACAGTGCCAATATTATCAATGTTTGTCCATTCCTTAATGGTTCCTGAAAAAACACCTGCCCTACCTTATTGTTCTGATCACTGGATTATATATACACGTTTATTGTTTTTGTTACCATTTTTATTTTGCCTCAGTTTGTTCACTTGTTTATTTTAAAAAGCAGACCACAATTATAATGCAAATCCATAAAAACTATGCATAAAAATGCTTAAAAATGAAACAGTACAATAGAAAAAAAGAAAAGAAACGAAGTATATCCTAATAGTAATTAACAGTTCTAGTGTATTTAGACATTAATACTATCCATTCAGCCAAAGTACTTTGTATGTATATACCAGATTGTTCCAAATCGGGAAATGAATGCCAATTGTTGACTTCTAATATTTAATACTTGACAATAGGTAAGCATGACAATATAACTCTAGATTTGGATAACTGAATTCTCCCCATTAATTGGTCATTGCATTTTTCTGTAAAAATATTCTTGGAATTGAAGAACCCCATAATTTTTTTTTTCTAAACAAAGAATTTATTTTCTGAAAACATTTTCCAGACATATGTCCTTGTTAACCACTTCGAAATCTTTTTTCCTGTAATTTTGATGAAGATATTAATACACTTTATTTGAATAATCCCCTATTCTCCACATTCTGCAACAATAGTAGAAGAAAAATGCAGATCATTTTACAAATAGCCAGGAAAAATATAAATCAAAATAAAAGTTCAGGGGCTGCATTCCAGATGGAGCTTTGTTTTTTTAGTTTTTGTAATTTGATGCTTAAAGAACTACAGCTTGACAGTCACATAATTTGCTTGCTAGGGGTTTTATTTCAAAGAATTTTGCCATGTCTTGTCCAGCAGTAGTAGGTATGATGGGATAAATCATTGGTGAAATCCAATTTTTTTTACTATCGATTCTGTGGGCGTGGCTTGGTGGGCATGGTGTAGCTTGGTGGGCGTAGCTTGGTGGGTGTGGCAGGGGAAGTATATTGCAAAATCCCCATTCCCTCCCCACTTCAGGGGAAGGATACTGCAAAATCTCCATTCCCACCCCACTCTGGGGCCAGCCAGAGGTGGTATTTGCCAGTTCTCCAAACTACTCAAAATTTCTGCTACCGGTTCTCCAGAACTTGTCAGAACCTGCTGGATTTCACCCCTGGGATAAGTGCAAACATTTATCTATGTGCCCCAACCATTTCTGCTTATTTCCCAAAGATATTCTGGGGGGAAGATACTAATAATTAAAAAACCTGAGGCAATCCTATCCTATATACTCTATCAGAATAGGGCATTTAATCAGTCTCTTATGCACGAGGGTTTTGCTAAATTTTTGAGGAAAAGATGTTCTGTAACTCTGTGCCTGTCTGTCTGTTCATGCCTTCAAATCAGTGTTGACTCCTGTCAGCTGTCTGGATACTCCCTACAAATTTATTGGCAAGATTTTCATAAGTGGTTTGCCCTTTGCTTGCTTTCTAGGGCTGAGAGAGAGAGAGAGAGACTGATCCATGGGTAATCCTCTTGGCTTCATGACAAAGGTGTGCCTAGACAACACAACTCCCAGTTTCTAGCCTTAACCACAATATCACACTCTGTAACTATGGACCACTAGGAATGAATAGATCAGTTTATGCTGATCTATTGTTTATGCATGGACAGAGTTGCAAAGCTTTGTTGATAGCACAGGTAATGCTGACATTTTTCTTAATAAAAGCTGTGAGGCAAGTAATCCACACAACTATTTCCATAGTATGGGCAAATGTCTGTCAAAACTATTAATAAAATCTCACATCCAGTGCTATATTTGATTTTCCCATCAAACAGAACCTTCTTGATGAAAAGGAAACCAAAAATCTAGATTATTATTTTTTTTAATTTGATTTATACGCCGCCCTTCTCCGGAGACTCAGGGCGGCTTACAATGTGCTCAGCAATAGCTTTCATCCTTTTGTATATTTATACAAAGTCAGCTTATTGCCCCCACAACTGGGTCCTCAATTTACCTACCTTAGAAAGGATGGAAGGCTGAGTCAACCTTGAGCCTTGGCGAGATTCGAACCTGCAGTAATTGCAGGCAGCTGGTCTTAATAACCAGCTTAATAACAGGGTTCTAGGTTCTCCAGATCCTGTCAGAACCTGCTGGATTTCACCCCTGCTTGAAAGGTCCTGTAATAAATAATAAATGACATCTGTTAGGAATCTTCATTCTTTTCTTTTCATGAAGGATTTCAAAAACCTTTTACTTATTAACTATTTCCACTATATAGTTAATCAAGACTTAATCAGGAGTCAGCTTTGATAAATTTACAAAACATTGATTGTGTCAAGTCTGAATTGACTTAAATTCTCTTTCAAATAATGTAACAAAAAATATTCCCAGTTGAAAGAAACTTATTCACCTTTAACTGTAAATCTATGAGACTAAGCTCACTCCATAGAGTGTCACACAATGATACATATGGAGATGTTGTGCCCTCCATTTATTAAGACAGAAGGTTGTTTTTCCTTTGGCCAGGAAAAAGAATCCATGTAATTTTCTGCTTGTCTCCTGAAGCACATTCATCAACATTATTTCAAATCAGAACCCAGCTATAAAACCATGTATTATGACAGTTCCTCTTTATTTACGAACAATAAATGGCCGCAGAAACAATCACGCAATATATCCAGCAATTAGGATTAAAACTCTTTTCTGATGCAAGATAACCCCCACAGGCAAAAGAATTCTTTTAATACAATTTTATACATCTTACTCAGTAGTATCTCTGATCAAATCTACCATAGTTAATTGTACTCGGCTGGCTGAGTCACATTATATTCTTGTAAACAAGTACTTACATGGCTTTATCTGAAACCCCAGAGAAAAGATATTATTTTTGCTGATTAGGAGGCAATAAAACACTTAAATAAGTCTGTTGAAAAATGTTAAAATGTATGCATTTTGTACAAGAAGTAAATTAATGATTCAAAATTGAAAATCACATTTAAAAAAGGAACCAAATTTAAAAAATAACCCACAGATTCTTCATATTTTTATTATCTTATTGGATTATTTAACTAAGAGCCAGTTTTGTGGAGTAGTTAAGACAGTGGACTAGAAACTAGTTTTCTAGTGAGTTCCAATTGTCTACTATGCAGGACCCAAACATCAGGGATCACCTTTTCTAATGAATCAGAAGGGCAAGAAGTAAGAGAACAACCAATCAGGTCCAGCAGCGGCTGGAATCTGGAATGAGGACCAATCTGGTCCCCTTGGCAGTCCACTGCAACATAGATTGGGATTTCCAAGCTTGACTGAAGCATCCAGGAGCAGCATGGGGGACAAGCATCTTAGACTACATTATGGAGTTGCCCTCTGTCACCCAATCCAGCCATCACCAAATGATATAATTCCTATCTTCATTACTATCATTTTTGGCACAACAGTGGTTCAATGATTCTAGAACAATGTTTCTCAATCTTGGAAATTTTAAGTTGGGGGGAATTCTTGGCAGTTGAAATGCATCTTAAAGTTGCTCAGGTTGATAAAAATGTTCTAGGAGATGCTAAAAGGTGCTAGTGAGAAATGAACATAGACCTATTGTCAAGGTGATAACATTGGAGGAGGGAAAGTATGTGTAGACTATTATGACTTCCTGGATGGAAGGAGAATGATAAAGATAAACAATTAACCATATTACATTAGTTTCATATATGAAATAATGCAATCCAGTCAATTTCATCTTTTATGATCAGTTTCACAATGCTTTCAGAAAATTCTATAGTTTAACGTTTCCAGCTTTTTTTTTTTTTTAGCAAAGATAACCTTAACTTCCAGAGTTCTTAAATAGAAGGTGTTAAAAATGTTTCAAATGAACAGATAAATAAATAATATTATCTCTCCCTGAGCAGAGTCCTATTCTTTCATAACACTCAAGTCAGGAGCAGTTCCCCCAAGATGCATAAATTCATTTGTGGGTAGGTGGGCAGGATCTGCTCTTCTATGCTGTCATGCAGCCAGATGATGAAACAATTCATATGAAACTGAATTTGGTAGCACACGCAATCTGTGGTCACATATTAAAATAAATAAGTAGATCAATATATGTGTCGTACATTTCATGTGATGGCCTAAAATGCCTATATAGATTTAGATTATATTATAGTACGGAGGGGGAAAGAGGAGTGTCTGTGTCCTATGTCAGGAAAGCCTATGGCATATGCCAGACTTTAATAATCTTATTTAATCTTATAACAATAGGCTCTACTGATGAAAGAACAAAAACATTGGTAGGGAATGTGGGAGGGTTATTGATCCTGGTAACATTTTAAGAGCATCTATGACTGAATATGTCTGCATTCGGTTCATAAATATTTCCACAAACCCATTGAAATGCCAGGGAATATTTATTTTATTTATATGATGTACAGTGAAGATAAACAGTTGTTATAGTTCCATTTTGTTGTCAGGCACTACCGGGAGAAATTAAAAATAAATGAACACATTAAAATGTCCATAACGGGATTTGGACAGACACCAAAGCAAATAATACAGTAACACATTGGAGATTAAAAACATTTTCTTTTTCTTTTTTTTTAAAGTATGGCTTTTCTGGGAGAATGGTATTACACAGATAATAAGTCAGAGTAAATTTTGCTTGTTACTTCCGGTGAGATCGGTGGATTTAGATCCCTATTCCCCATTTCAGACATGCTTATGAACAAAGCAAGAAGGAATTTAGCTATCTGAATTAACTACCTTAACTGTCATCCATATTTATGTCAAGTGACATAAAGTATGCAAAAGGGTGAGAAGAAATATTGCTTTGCACAGAAACAGTTATATGGGTTGGGTATGGATTAAAAAGGCAATGTATTCATTATTTCCATTCTTTTTGCCAAGTACAGGTAGTCCCTGACTTATGACCACAATTGGGACCATAATTTTGGTTGCTAAGCAAGACAGTTGTTAAGTGAATTGAAGCCAATTTTGGGTCGGGGTGGGTTCCACTTATCTTTACTACCGGTTCGCAGCGGGATCGCGCTCACACACACGTCTCTACTCTTCTGCGCATGCGCAGAAGCTTCTGCGCATGTACAGATCACCAATGATGATGTCGTGCAGGGTGGGCAGAGCCTCCCACCGGTTTTACTACCAGTTCTATAGAACTGGACAGAACCGGGAGCAACCCACCACTGTTTTGGGTCCTTTTTTGCCCCAGCTGTTAAGTGAATCATTGCAGTGAAGTATGCAGTCATGAAGCAAATCCGATTTCTCTCGTTGACTTTGCTTATTGGAAACTAGCTAGGAAGGTCACACAATGGTGACCCTGTGACTTTAGATGCTGCAACTGTTGAAAATACATGCCATTGGCTGAGCACCCAAAGTTTGATCATGTGACTGTGGGGATGCAGCAATGATCATAAGTACGAGAACTAATCTTAGGTCACTTTTCTTCAGTGCCATTGTAACTTCAAATGATTGCTAAAAGAATGGACGTAAGTCAAGGACTACCTGTAATGGAACAGTCTTCCAGTCAATAGACTGCAGAGGGTAGAAGAAATGGCCTTGAAGAACAGGAGGAAGAGTCACTATTAAGGCAACAGGCAGATAAATGGGGCCAGAAATAACTTGAGAAAACATCTCAGACAAATCCACAAAAGGAGGCAACAGGTAGCACATGCAGACTTGCAGGATCCTCTTCTTGTGTTACTAAAAAAAATAAATAGTCCTGACCTACATGGCATTGGTCTCTTTGTCAGATCTACCTTGTTAGGCTGACCTAGACTCAGCTCTTTTACTACAATATACTCACCTCATAGTGCCATTGCTGTTTTTACCAGGAAGAGATTAGTTGAATCGAAGGCTAGAAAAACAAAAATATTGAAGAAAATGTGTGAAGAAATTTCTCAGGACGAATATATAGGCATTCGATGTGAATTTAAAAAAAAAACCAAATTGAGTTCAGCCAACTCTACAAAAGATGAAGGAACAAAAAGTATATATTGCCAAATTCAAGCAATAAGAAAAGGATGAGTTAGGTATTCTCATATAGAATGGAGTTATGTTTAGGGAAGCTTACAGGCTTCATATAGCAAATACACTGAAAACGTTTTCCTCAGGTCTAGCGCAAAACTATAATGAAGAATTTACAGAGCAATACAGTTCTCATTTTGGCATTTAAAGATATCCCCCACCCCTCTCCCAAAATGAGAGACCATTAATCACTTGTCCATGAATTGTATACCTACATCACACACAAAAAGGGAAACGGAAGGATATCGAAAACAAATAAGCAATGGCTGAGCCAAAATTATGCTGGGGAATGAGAATGTTGTAGGAACTGAGCTGTGATTCTTCCATGTTTTCTGGTTATCAGGTTTATCAGGTTAGTTTACTTGTTTGGGCATAAAAATGAGTACATCTCATATTAGTAGCTGACGTTGTACTAATTAAGAAAAGGACGAAATGGGAGCTCTTGGGAATCAGAAACATTTTCTGGTCTTCTTCACTTGCTCGCAGTTGCATGACTCTTGGCTCCTTCAATTACTTTGTACTTTGCATCATTAATCAGTGATGAGAGAAGCCAAGAACCAGTTAACTGAAATCCGACTAGCTATTGAAGCACATTTTTTATCCTTCTATGGATAGCAAGTCATCAGTTCAAGTTCTTCAGAAAATGAAACAAAGGGCATTGGAAAAGACTCAAGTCAACTTTCAATTTACTAGCTGTTTTTGTTTTCAGTGGATTGCTGTAAGAGGTTGGTACACTAAACTCTTTAAGGAATATAATTTTGTATTAGCAATTTTACTAGATTCTTCAGAATCAGGGGCCATACAATACATTCAGACTGGTCCAGTGTTCAGATCTTTCAAAATCACCCTGAAAACATATAGAAGTGAGGACCTGAGATCTGAGATGCCTATTTACTAAGGCTGTGCCCTGCTTCAAATTCAATTCCAAAAAGGTGCTTCAGAATAAACAATAGAATAAACATCACAGCACCTGGAATCACATAGAAATCGCAAAGAGCAGGTGAGTGAACCTGGGAAAAGCCACGATTGCTTTAAAGACCTGCAGACAAGTGCATCATGCTTTAAAGCACGTTTTCTAAATTATTTCTCAAGAGCTGTACAGCTCTAACATTATGACTCCCCCCCACCCCCCGTGTCCTGTCAAGGGGAAGGAAACCATTCATGTCCAGGACCAGAAAGATGTTCTAAGAAGCAGTAGAATGATGAAAGCAAGACAGTTACAAAGCTGTTTTACCTGGCATCTAGCTAATGCCACAGCATCACTCATGTTTATCAGGTATGGGGGAAAAAAACTATTCAGATCACTCCAAAACAACCATCCAATTCTGCTGGAAAGAAAACTAACTATATGCAATGTGGCACTTCCCAATCTTTCATTCAGATGACTGGGGCTTCAATCTATGCCTGTATACTACTAGTTGTACCTGCCAAGTGTATGTCATGATGGATTTATCATTGGCTCTGCAGATCTGGGGATTCAGAAGCGAATAGTTATGAACCTGCCTGGGAATTTTCCTCTATGTTCAGTTAAGTGGATAGGTATTATATGGAAAAGTTGGATGTTTTCCATTGGCCACATCCTTACATACTTCAGACATACTGTAGCCATTTTTCTCACACTTCATCAGAAAAGGCAATTTTGAGAATATGAGAGTATATCTTATTGCCGATGAATTGAAATGATCTTGCCTTCTAAAAACCCCAGGTTCCCTGGGGAGCAAGCCAACATTACATAATATCCTGGTTACTTGCTTGCATATCCAGGGACAAGAAGCATTCCTGAAAGGTTGCCTGAGAAACACAACAGGAAAATTGCTAGTATGACAATGGTTCTTAACTGTTTTATGTGGTGAGTTACTTTCCAGCAAATTCTTGCTTTTCTTAGAGCTACGGTATATGTTGAAGTATGGAAGGGATCAAGAGTTCAAGATCTTATGTTGAAAAGAGGCTATCAAGAGACATTTGGATCCGAACTACGGATTTTTTGCACACATTGAAGGCTAATTAAGAGCAGGACTGACCTGCTTGTCATCTGTATTGATAAGAAAAATGCATGGGAACATAACCTCTAACTTAATTGGAAGGTCAAGTTTCTCCATGAGGTGGCTAGACAGTCTGTAGATTGACTTAACTATGCCACTGTGAAAGTAATATTCTCCCCATTGACCCCTGATTCTGACCAGGCTGTTATCAAAATGAGGCAACAGCTGGCTCCAACACTAATTCTTTATGTTGCCTCATTTAGATAAATGCCCCCATCCTGTCCAGAGCCTGGAAGAGGTTGACTCCACAAAGACAGTATATCAGGAATAGTCCCGCTTGACAGGAAATGGGCTTTCCTCAGTTATAATCCAACCGTTCCAGAAAAGAATTTGCAGCGCAAACCCTCTTCTGGATTCCATAACAATAGCAACTGTGAAGGAGGCCTTTTCTTTAAACAGAAGTAGCCTTGTTAAAACGACACATTTTAAATAATGTGATACTCAATAATGCTTTGGTCCTAAAAGCGCCTTGATCGATGGCTGATTCCGTTGCTTAAATTACTATGCAGTTTTGTCTCAAAGAGGCAGATCTATCCAGGCCTTCCCTGCTTTCAAAACTGTGCATTGCAGCTGGGAGCCCAGAGCATCAAAATTACTCTGGGTAGCAAAGTTAGAGCTGACTCAGTTGCACAGCTGCCTGATCAAGAGGAAAAGAGAAGGAAGAGAGAGATTCAAAAACTGCTTTGAGCAGTATTGAAACTGTTGGGCTTTATCAACCGTTACCTTTGACAGAGGTTAAGGAGACTGCAGTATACAGAAAACATAGAGGCATGTTCAGGATTGGCAATCTGGTTTCAAACCAGGGTAGTTTTTAATTAACTCAAGATAGGCAGAGAGTACTTCTATCAGGAATATTTGTAACAGAAGGTCAAAAAGGTTGAGATAGCAATTGCAATTGTGGCATTGAAGCAGAGGTGGAATTCAGGCGGTTCACACCGGCTCAGGCAAACCGGTAGCAACGATCGCACGGCTCCAAGTCGTGCTATTTAGGCACGTTTTTGAGGCCAGGTGCATGCACGGAAGGCACACAAGCAAGCAAAGCGCATGCACGGACAGCACACACATGAAGCAAGCGTGCGTGCACGGGGCAGACCGGTGGTAGAGGTACGTGAAACCCACCCTGCATTGAAGCTACCCCTTGATATATGTATCACGTGTGTGGTGCACATAAAAAGCGGGCAAGACTTCAACTGTGTGGTTGAGGGCACCCTTTTGACTTGTTTAGTCCTTTCCTGCAGAATCCCTGACTTCAGATAATAGTGGCCAATTAGAAAAGAGGGAAATGGTTGAAGATCCTTAAACATGTATCTGCACTATAAACTTCCACCAATTTTTTTATAATAATTCAAGTATAAAGCTTTCTGCGAAGAATCCCAGGAAAAATAATTTAATGACATACTAAGGCTCTTGGTTAGAGTTTCATAGACTCTCTCCTGACAGCACTACGTGGTTTTCTAAAGTGGAAAAAGTCATTTCAAGTGGTTTATGAAGTTATGAGGTATATGATATTCAGTTCAAAATGAAGTTGTTAAGAATCCTTCTGAAAGCAAAATATTTGGGGAAAGAAGAGGTGATTGTAAATCTGGTTTGGAATTTCAGCTCTTAATGTTACTGACCCAGAGCAACAATTAACTGGAGTTTCCAATACTGGCACCTTCTGATGTAATTGTCCTGGGGTGATCAGCAATATTATTGCACTGAGGTCAACAATATGCTATTTCACTGGCTCATTGGAAAGCCAAACTGCTGTTGCCCTGTTTTTTGTTTTTTTTGTTTTTTGTCTGTGTGCGTTTTTTTCCTTTAAGTACAAAACTCTTAATAAACATTCTTTCCCTTTTAAATGTGGATAGGCTGGAACAGCCTGTTCTGAGGTGACTGGAAATGGCAACTTCTACTGCTAAAAAATTAATTTCCTATTAGCCAATGCGTTTTAAGAGTCTCTGGGGAAATTCTTTTGAGTACCTCCGGCTGACAAGGCACTATTTTCACTCAGGATTCAATAGTTTATGTAGCACTGTGTGAGCCACAGATATCCAACTGTATAAAGTAACCTCACATGAAGATTTTAATGTAAATGGACACAATCTCTGCCATGATTTGATGTAAATGGATTTAATTATATTAATTATCCTAATTATCTGGGAACTTATTCTGTATGAAAAATATAACCACAGGCTTTCATGATGAGAATGTAGGATTTTTTTTTCTTCCTTTTATTATCAAAGCATATCATGCAATATACTATTATACTTTGGTTCAAACTTACAATGGCACTGAACGAGTGGTAATTACAACCGATCCTTGTACTTGCAACTTATCACACTGTCCTGCGGTCATGTGATCGTGATTTTTGACCTTCCCTGACCCTCTCCCACAAGCAAAATCAATGGGGATGCCAGCAGGAATTTGCAACTTGAGGTCCTGTCAGATCTTCACTTAATGATTCACAAAGTCCTTGTTTAATTACCGTGTTTCCCTGAAAATAAGACCTCCCCGGATAATAAGCCCTCCCCTGAAAATAAACCCTCCCCCCAAAATAAGCCCTCCCTGAAAATATTTAACCACATGCACAGCTGGTTCCCGCCATTTCCTTCGGTTAGGGTTAGGGAGACAGAGCTGGAAATCAGGTAAGATGGCAAGAGGATCCCTGTCTTGCTCCATGCGCCCCAAAATAATAAGACCTCCTCAAAAATAAGACCAAACACTTATTTTGGGGTTCAAAAAATATAAGACAGGGTCTTATTTTCAGGGAAACATGGTATTGCAATTGGTGATAAAACCATATCACTT